AAAAGGCGATGAACCGCACTGAGTACTGCATCCCTTCTAACCAGATTGAAAGCATTTTTGAAGTCCAGCTTTATCAGGGCTTTTTCATTCGTAATGTTGGCAATGTAGGCTCTAGCTGCATGAGCCGCTGCCTCACACCCTTGGGGAATGCCAAACCCAAGCTGTTTTGGCTTCAGCATGTCGGCTGCTGTCTGACTAACTGCTCTAGCAGCAGCCTTAGCGACGAGACGCCGGAGTGAATTGCCCACAGCTATCGGTCTGATTGCTCCATCTTTTTTCCTCAGGGCACAGAGGGTAGCACCAAAAAAGAGAGGCCGTATGGTCTCTGGTATGTTGCCAGCTAGACATGTGTTTTCGAATCTAGTTAGTTCCACCAGGAGGCCCTGTGCAATGTCTCCTAGTGCAGGATTGAGCATTTGTTTGATGTGGTTGGGTCGTAGTCCTGTGAACCTACCTGCTGATCCTGGTGGGAAGGATAAAGCTGCTTTATGCACCGTGGATTCGAGCACACACAGGGGTTCTGCTCTGGTGACACCGAGTAGGGGAACACTGTCGTCACGAGGAGCTCTGGGTGGGTGTTTTTTCCTCAGGGCTTGTGCTGTATCGGCATCCTGGTGGCAACTGTGTCCTCACTGGTGATGACTCTGATCGCCCCTATTGTGTTGCCTTCTATTTTCTTGCTGACTGTTGCTCTGATTTTGGATGCCTCGGTTCTGCTGTTGATTCCTTTCCTGCCGTGGGTGTTTTTGGCACGGGTGGGGGAGGGGGGGGGGTGCCTGGTTGTCCTCTCTAGGGAAAACTGTTTATAGCCATTATGACCGACGAAGCGAATGATTTTTCTCTCCTTGCAGGGGCAGCTAGGCATATGTTTCCAAACAGGAGAAGGTTGCGCCATGCTTGGATGGTTCCAGGGGAGTCACTGACCTTTTTCAAGAGGCTGGATAGTTTAGCTGCTGCGTGGGGCCGGGCAGCTTTTGGGGATGTGCTGCAAGGTTCCAACCGATGTTGCTTTGATGGCTTCTAGTAGATTCTCAGTCGAAATGAAGCTGTGGAGGTGTTTTCCCTGACTGCTGGAGTGGGGCCTTGATTGATACTCTCCTTGGGAGGGCGCCACATACCCGGACAATTGGTTCCATTGTGAGCATGCTTGCGCACATCTCCGTTACGCTCGAGTCTCCACACCTAGTCACACACTTGGCATGTGGCCATACCTGTCGTCGATTGATGGCTCCTCTTGGCTGAGAGAAGCCTGGCTGTCAGGCGTGACCTGCAACATCGGCGGGCGCTTGCCGGGCACTGGGTGGGCGCTGGGCGGGAGCCGGGCGGGCGCCGGGCGGGCGCTGGGCGGGGCGCTGGGCGGACGTAGCGTGAGGGGGTGGACACAGGGAGGGTAGCGGTCGCGGTTGGGGGTGGGGCAGGGGGGGGGGGGAGGGGAGTCTTGGGTTGGGTGACAACGGTACACACTGACGGTTATGGGGGGGGGGGGGGGGGTCAGTATGGGGAGGGGGGTCAAGCCTTATGGCCTTATGCCAATATATATGTATATATATATATAGAAGGAGTACCACCTCTGGCTGGAAGGAATGGGGACCCAGATGTTATGCCGCTGATGTTATCCTCTTGAGATGTGCTGCAGGAGACAGGTCTGGAGTGATATCAACTCCCAAGTCTTTTTCTTTCTCTGACACCTGAAGGATTTCCTCTCCCAGATGATACCTTGTGTTTGGCCTCCTGCTCCCTACACCTATCTTCATTACATTACATTTGGTTGGGTTGAACTCTAATAACCACTTGTTCGACCATTCCTTCAGTTTGTCTAGGTCTTCTTGAAGCCTCAAACAGTCCTCTTCTGTCTTAATCCTTCTCATAATTTTGGCATCATCCGCAAACATTGAGAGAAATGAATCTATACCCTCCGGGAGATCATTTACATATATCAGAAACAAGATAGGACGGAGTACAGAGCCCTGTGGGACTCCACTGGTGACTTCACGCCAGTCAGATTTCTCACCCCTCACCGTAACTCTCTGCTTCCTATTGCTTAGGTACTCCCTTATCCACTGGAGCACCTTACCAGCTACACCTGCCTGTCTCTCCAGCTTGAACACTGTGGAGAGTGTTAAGTGTGTGTTAACACTTAAGTTAGTGTTAACACTAACACTTAACACACAGCTCCACACTGTGTGTGTGTGTGTGTCTGAAAAAATATATAAAAAATAATAATAAAATAAATGAATTAGTAACTATGCAATTAGTAACAGATGAGAGGCGGGCCGAAAGAGCAGAGCTCAGCCCACGCAAGCACAACTAGATGAATAAACGCACACACAGTCCAGTCCAGTCCAGTCCAGTCCACCGAGCCAGACACACGTGTGGAAGTTAGTTAGTAATTAGCATCAATATCCTGGGATATTTATGAATCAAAGAACCCAAAACGTAGTTTTTGGTCTTATGCCGTGTACAGCAACGCTGTGTATAGCTTAACATTGTGACTTGACTTAACTTCCCCCTTTTTCCCACCTACCTCCCACCTCCTCACTCAGCAAAGTAGAACCCCCCCCCCACATTCAACAAACTCTCTCTCTCTCTCTCTCTCTCTCTCCTCTCTC